GGCTTTTACAGAATATCCTAATGAAATCCAGACTTAGGCTTGTATTAATGTGACTGTATCATGATTCAGCATAACTTTAAAGCCCTCTGGAGTTTTCTCTTTACTCAGCCAGTCCATTAACACTTTTAAGGCCCATATTGTGTTGTGGGTTATAGTGGCGTTGTATCCATTGTCTTCACTCTTTTGATTTCTTTTCTCTACTGGTGACGGGTCAAGCCTAGAACCACCACTGTGAAGTTTTGTGTACCCTGTGTACATTGAGAGAAAGGATCGACCAAAATTATTATTTTTTTTTTTGTAAGGGCCTATATCAACACCGATTATTATTAATCAAGTAAACCGATAACCAATATTTAGAACTGATATTCATTTGCAGTACAAATATATATTGCGGTGCCATTTGTTTTTTTCGTTAAATTTGCAGGTGTATGTGTTTTAACATATAAGGAGGTGTTTTTTCCTGCAACTCCAACATTTCTGTAGCCTACCGTTCATCCACCAAACCGCTTGTGGTCTTTTTTTTTTTGCCTTATTTTGAAATGAGAAAAGAGACGGAAGTGGCGTATGCTAGCTCCGTAAGATTTACAGGGGACATCTTGCGGTGTTGTTACCTGCTAGTTTGTTTCTTATGTTTCATTTCTCCATGCTTCGTGGTGTTTGTTGTAACTGTGGGCATGTGATTTGATTAGAAGTGGAAGTTGAAGAATCTTATTTTTGACAGTGAAGATTGCTTCTGGGGAATGACTCAGCCGTTTGTCAAGAAGCAGGCTAAAGTGATCTGTGTTTTATTTATCTGTAGTGGCTACAATGCTAAGCAATCCTATCTCTGTAATGAATACAATAGCTGATGTTGGCTTTATTTTGTTTATTCAAGTTTTAGTTTGATGGTGTTAATAAACATCAGGTGGAAGGAACAGGATTCTCACATCCAATCATACAGCCGCTTCACGGCGCACTCTCTCTCCCCCTAGCTGTGAAGCTGTGCCTAGAAATATTAGTGTTGATTGGCTGTCTGCTTAGCCAATTAGTGGGGACTGTAGGCGGGAAATTGTTACACAGCCAAGAGTGGTGACTTGAGGCAGAGAGAGGCAGAGAGAGGCAGCTTTAGCGCGTTTTAAAATAAACTTATATTATCCGTTATAAACGGCTGATAACTATTTTTGTTAATGCTGAATATCGGCCGATATTATCAGCCGTGCTGGTTATTGCTCAGTCCTTAATTTAGAGTCATATAAATTTATCCTCCATACTGTCTACTGGTGCTGTAGTTTCAGTAGATAATATGGACATGAAAGATGGAACCACAAACAGTGCAATCAATGTGCCGTAAATCCTTAAAAAAATGGTGATCATAGCTTTCAGGCTATGAGACCACCCTTACTGATAATCTACCTAAACCAGCGTTTCAGCTCAGTTGCGTGTGAAGGAGAAGGAGGAGGAGGACATGACGGCGAGAAAGCAGGGGGGAATGGTTCCCTGATGCAACGCTACAGTAGAGGATGCCTTGAGATGATGCAAGTACATTATCTCACTCCGAGATCGACCTCTTTTCAAACACTAGAATTCACTTCACATAAAAAAAATATTGACTGAGGCATATACATGAGCTGCATGTGGTTTTGTATTTCTAGACACTGCTGTTCCTCTGCGGGCTAATCTGAAACACTGGGCTGCTCTGTCACTGACTAAACTGCTGCTAAGTATAGCTAACCGCTCTCTTTACTCCTGTTTGCTCCCAAACATATCGGGCACCAATTAGGCAACATTATTCAAACATTCTGTGATGGCCTTGGCGTACCGTAGATTTCACTCCGGTCCCCTGTCACTTGGCTTATTATGCACACACTTCTCCTTGAAATGAAACATCCACAAACGCAAACCTCCCTCTCTAGGCACGCCGAGTGAGAAGCAAGTGTACACATGGATCAGACTTGAGTCAACATCATTACCAAGCGCCGCTCCTCTCTGGAGTGGAGTGGAGCTTTTTTTTTTTTTTGTAAGTATGCATTGCTAGCTTTGATCCTAAGGTCTACTGTATAGACCCCTCCTCCTCGTCTTCCTCCATTCCTCACCACCCGTCACATTTGGTAATGAGATGCCTTGGTCAAAGGAAGAGTAAACATCACAGCGCAAACAACGGCATATGAATAAGATGTAAACATACATATTTATGAGCTCCCTTTGCTCTTAAACATATACTAACCACAAACTGCAAGCGGGGGATCATGCTCTCTGTCTTCATAATACTGTTTTCTGTCAAACTGTTGTGCACTTAGCAACTTTTTTTCTAATCTTCCTCTCTTAATTTGCACTCTTATGAAATCAGTTTAGACCAAATCCAGCTTGGTTTTCATCTTCTTCTTCGAGCAGTCTCGCCCTTTTCCTCCTGAAGTCCTCCACTGACTGCCACTTTGACCCTCTGTCTCGGTCGCTCCCTCTCTTCCTTGCCCTCACCGTCATACCATGTTCTTTTGGCATTTTCATTACAGAAAGACAGCGAATGTGGGGGAGAGCCAGAGCCGTAAGAACCTTTCTTTGACAACCCACTCTTCCCTTTATCCCCAAAGACATAATTGGCCATTGCAGCACAATACATCCCTGTTGGTGATATATCAGGGCTTTTGCTCAACATCAAATTTGTATTCTTGTCGGATAAATATTTAAAGATGTAAACAATATGTGTATAACTTAACTTTTTGGTTTGCTTACAGACTTTCAACCAGACAGCATCCTTACATCCATGCATTGTAGGCTTTAACATATATAGACTAATCTATACTACAAATAAATCATCCATCCGTTTTTGCCCAAACACACATATGCACCATGAGAGAGCTTAAAGCTACAACTACTGCTGTACTGCGGTCTATGGTGGCCCCATATGGACACATGGTTGAAAAAATAAACCATACCAAATGCTGGTAAATCTTTTCCAGATTAGTCTGTGTGTGTGAGGTTGAGCCATGAATAGACCCAGACTGATTTTAACATTTGGAATATTTTAATATAGCAGTGTCAACATCATGGTAAACCCATGTATGGAGTTATTATTTCTGAGTCATTAAGGGGAGAAAATGTTGAATAATCACCAAAGGTTCAAAGTGATGAAGCTGATCAATAATCATCAATTGGTAAAAAATAACACTTTGTAGGTTTGTGACTTTGTTCTTTGCGATAAGGTCGGTTTACAGAGAGTGGGGCGGAGCAGTGTAATTAGCTCTAAATGAAGATGTTAGTAGTCATTTAAATTGATGCTAATATCTCTGGCAGAAGGGAACATTAAACCTTTGTGCTTTGCAAACAATACTTCATTTTTGTTTGTTTGTTTTTGGATTTTTGGGCTGTAGTTATAAGACCCTTGCTTTGTGTAAACCATGAACAGTTATGATTCTCAGAGAAGGAGATGATTTGATATAAAAACCTAAAGCCTGCTGCAAACAAAGGCCGGGATCCTTACACAGTAAAAACAAATGAAAGACCCAGTCTGCGTTTGAGGATTTACAGCATTTGACAATAAATGAACATATTCAATCAATTTAATGTAGATGGTAAAAAAAAAAAAAAAGGTTAAGGACGGTTAATGGTTAAAGTAAAAAAAGGAATAAAAATAAGTCATTGATTGATTTATTGAGCTACCTTTTTAAAGAAAGTCCACTTTCCTGAAAATGCCTTTCACTGTTGCTTAATGTGTTGGCTGTGATCTTTATTTGTTACTACTTACAGAGGAAGTCAACATATTTTACCTAACATATGCCAGAAAATGAAGGTTATTTTTGACGTTTTAAAGCACGTGGAACAGACTTTGTTCACTGAAAGAGTTCATTTTGTGTAACAGTGTAAAAACAGTGTATTTTGTGAGGGATATGGAACATTTCATGTCAGTTTTGATGTGAAAGAGGATGATTTCTTGACTTCTACCTTCAGATTGTTTTGTTCTTTGTTTGTGATGAAAATAAATCACATTGTGATTGCTATTTTTTACTCTCCATGTGCTTCAGGTAAAAGAGGATCAAAAGGAATGAACTTAAAACCTATTCACAGGTTATTTATGGTCTGTTATCATGCATTTTAGAGAGTGAGCCCTTTGTGAACTCTGTAACACATGATCTGGAAGGGTACGGCTCAAGTGCATTTGAAAGTGTCCCCTCTATAGCCAGTCAAAGCTCCTGTAAGGAGAGTTCAGCTGGCTTTGACTGAACCAGACTGAAATGGATACAGATGCCTCTACATGAACCAGCAGAAACCATAGATTACTTTTATGAGATAAAGCCCATCGTAGCTGCTGCTGCTGAGAAGGTATAGGGAGGTGATTGACAGTACACTGCAGAAAAAGCCTTTCCCTTCAGCAGCATTTCTTATTTTCTAAATGACCCAGCTAAGTTAGTTACATGAGTCCCCACCGGTCCACTTCACACTTTGAACCCATTCAATCCACTACACCTTGATTTGTGAATGATCACAGCAGTGATTCACCCCAGCAGTAATAACAAATGTGTCTCTATAATAAGAGAATAATTGTTAGATTTAACACAAAAGTGGCTTTATTGAAAATTAAGGTAAACAGTATGGGCATTTTTTTTTTGACATTTTTGACATTTTTTTGGCAAAACTATTGAAACAAAATGAAAATAAAACAGTATTAATATTAATGCACAGTGGAAACTGTCTCTCCTGTCCAGCTGGAAGCAGATTTCTTTTGTTGAAAACATAAAATCAAGACATATTTTACAAAACAGCATCAGGTCATCAGATCTTCACCGGAAACTTGTCAAAAACAGCAGATTGAGGTTGCTGCTCAGATAAAAGGAGTTTTACAGTCACAAACTTCCCTATGGTGGCACTGCTCAGGTTCAGTCTGCTCTTCTGCTCCTGGAAGTCAACAATGACTTATTAGACACACTCATGTGTTGTTGTGTTTGACAGCTTGTTATAGTATTTTGTGTCAAACTACAAAAAGCATGACACATTGTGTGCTGACTATATTGACTCACCTGAACCATCTAAAACTTTGTTTTCCTCTTCTCCGATCTCTGACCAAACACTTCCTCATCTTCACATTTAGGTGACTTTCTTGTAAGCTCCGATTGGCCCTGGTCTTCAGCCTCAGTCAAACCCGGATGAAGAGTTGTGTTGTGGTGGTCATTTTGAGGACTTTCTGGATCAGAGTGTTGAGAACCATTCCCTGATCTGGCTCTCTTGATCTTCCTTTCTTGAGTGTTGGTGTTCTTCTGAAGAGGACAATGCCACTCTACAGAAACAGCATGGGGGCATGCTGTTTCTGTAGAGTGGCATTGTCCTCTTCAGAAGAACACCAACACTCAAAAGAGGAAGATCAAGTGAGCCAGATCAGAAAATGGTTCTCAACACTCTGATCCAGAAAGTTCTCAAAATGACGTCTGGACTCCCCGATGGTGGTTCTCCCCTATGGTGGTGGTGCTCCGCTTCAGTCCGCTCTTCTGGTCCTGGAAGTGAACAATGATTTGTTAGACACACTCATGTGTTGTTGTGTTTGACAGAACTACAAAAAGCATGACACATTGTGTGCTGACTATATTGACTCACCTGAACCATCATCTAAGATCTGATTGGCCTTGGTCTTCAGCCTCAGTCAAACTTGGATGAAGAGTTGTGTTGTGGTGGTCAGTTTGAGGACTACATCTGTTTTTTGAGAACCATTCCCTGATCTGGCTCTCTTGATCTTCCTCTCTGGAGTGTTGGTGTTCTCCTGAAGAGGACAATGCCACTCTACAGAAACAGCATGGAGGTTGCTGTTCCGATGCCACTTTACAAAGACAGCATAGAGGTTGCTGTTCCGATGCCACTTAACAAGGACAATGTATTGATGTTGCCGTCAGATGCCACTTTTCAAAAACAGCATGGAGGTTGCTGTTTAGATGTCACTTTACAAAAACAGCACTGAGGTTGCTGTACAGATGCAACTTTACAAAAACAACTGCTTGGAGGTTGCTGCTCAGGTGTTACTTTAAATAGACACAAGGAGGTTGCTTTTCAGATTCCACTTTACAAAAACTGCTTGGAGGTTGCTGTTTAGATGCCACTTAACAAAAACAGCACTAAGGTTGCTGTTTGGATGCCACTTTACAAAAACAGCACTAAGGTTGCTGTTTGATGTCCCTTTACAAAAACTGTATGGAGGTTGCTGTTTGGATGCCACTTTTCAAAAACAGCATGGAGGTTGCTGTTCCGATGCCACTTAAAAAAAAAAAAAAAAAGCATGGAGGTTGCTGTTTAGATGCCACTTTACAAAAATTGCTTGGAGGTTGATGTTCAGATTGTACTTTACAAAACTGCCAATGGGGGTTGCTGTACAGATTTCTTTTAACAAAAACAGCACTGAGGTTGCCATTCAGATGCTGCTTCACAAATACTGCATATGGAGGTTGCTGTTCAGATGGCTCTACTGCTCAGGTACAGTCCACGCCTCTGGACCTGGAAGTCAACAAGGACTTGTCAGACAAACTTATGTGTTGTTGTGGTTGACAGCATGTTATGATATTTTGTTTTAAACTACAAAAAGCATTACACATTGCGTGTTGACTATATTGACTTACCTGAACCATCTACAGACGCCTTCTCCTTTTTTCTGATCCCTGACCAACATCATCAGCCGCTTTTCTCTTGACTCCTGATTTGCGCTTGTCTTCAGCCGGACTCAAGTTAAGACGAAGAGTTTTGTTGCGGTGGTCAGTTTCAGGTTTTTCAGGATCAGATTGCTGAGAACCATTTCCTGATCTGGCTCTCTTCCTCGTCCTCTCTTGAGTGTTGGTGGTCAGCACAGGAGGATGATCAGGGTGGTTAGGAGTGCTCTTCTGGGTGATGTCAACTGCATGCTGGCTACTGCAGGAGGTGAACTGGCATGCAGGTGTTTTGCTGTAATTTTAAGAAAAAAGTTGAATTATTATGATGCAGAAAGACCAGAAAAGTTTCCATCAACCTCTAAAGTATTCAGATTTGTTTTGTAAACAGGTTAACAAGAATGTTACTGGTGTAGATTATCCTACCTGTGCCCAGACTTGACTTTTTTGGACAAACTGCAGCTCTCGTCCGTACTTTCATCAACATCCTCAAGTTTTCTTTTCCTCCCTGTCTTGCCTCCACTTGTCGATGGGGAAGGAGTGTGAGGATGAGGGTTGATGGGGGACCATGACTGTTCAAGGCTGCTGCTGCTGCTGCAAGCGGGTGTAGCAGGACTGTTCTGCTGGGAGGGTTGAGCCATGGTCTCCAAAGAGGAAGTGAAACTGCAAGACAACAAATCATAAATCAGACTTCTTCATTGGTCGTGGGACTTGTAAAAAGCATGAGTAATATTTCCTGCAAACACTTGATAGGAGAGAAATAACTCTGAATGTTTGAAAATTTTAGTCTCCACTTACTAAGACGGGTAGGGAAACCTGCTGGTGAGGTGGCTCATGGTGATGAAGGGATGCTCCAGCACCTGACGGGGTGTCAGTCTTTTGGCTGCATCAAGCTGGAGCAGTCCCTTCAGCATGTCCAGAAAGACCTGCCCGTCGCTCATCTCCAGAACTTTGTCTGCAGCAGCGTCAGACTTTAAACTTCGAATCTGTAGAGAGGACAAAGACAACCACAGTCAGGGGTGTTACTTTTATTACCAGATAATCAACAAAAACTTTTTTTTTTAACTTTTAACATTTTCAAACATTTTTTTTATGTTTTTTTTTTTTTTTTTTCTTATATTTATGACAAAAACAAAAGTACGTACATTCAGAATTTCATCCAGAGAGTTCAAGATGACTCTTCTGCGCTCTTGTGGCGCCATCCCTGTCTCAAGGAAATATCTCAGCACACTCTGAAAAGACAGTGTGTTTGTTAGCTGCTACAGTCAGGGCACAGTTTGTTTTGTACAAGACATGTATGGGACAGTTCCCACCAAGGTGTTTATACTGAGGTATTTAAAATGTGGTCATATTTAAAGTCAGAGCATTACAGAGAATTTCAGGGCCCCTCTCACCACTGTTTACTCTGGCTAGGCTACAAAAACTGTCCCACAACACTCCAGCTTCCCTGGTGGTGACTGTTTCAAAATGCTCAGTATGTCGTATTGGTTTATATTCAGTGACATTGCATTAAGAAAACCTAAAAACGACTGAAGCATGTTCTAGCAACTTGCATAAATCAGTTGAACGGTTGATGCTTTCTTCACCTGAGCTATATCCGAGAAAACTAATACTTGGCAAAAAAACAAGACTATGTTTAACTTTGACACACCTGGAAACCTTCTTAGCCAACCAGACACAATAATGCCTCCAAATCAACACCCATATTTAAAAAAAAAAATGTGACTGGCTACTGGTAAAGTGTAGGGTAAGAGTTAGTGTTATGTACCTTGATTTTCCATTGACGGTCGGGCCGGTTAACTCTCTGGAAAAACCTGGATGTCTTGAGCCCCTCGTTGAGCAGGTTGTCTGGTGGTAGACCCTGAGTCTTAACAATGAACCTCATCTGAAAATGCAGCACAACAAGAAGTTACATGGTGACATCAAAGTGAAGAGGAAAAATTCTCCATAAAAGAATAAATTAATTAAACGATTTAAAAAATAAAATTCAATCAAATACACATTGATGTGAGGAGGTTATAAAGTGAGGAGTTTAGAGATAAAATACAAATTAAAAGCTGATTCTTGATGATTATTTCAGTTACATGAAACTCTGTTCTGAGAAAGAAACAGTAAACTTAAAGTACCATTTCAAATTCATCCCGACCAGGATACAGATAAGTGCCAAGGTACATGCTGGCAGCCATGATACCCAGAGACCACATGTCGATGGCCTCTGTGTAGGGAAGCTCCAAAATAATCTCTGGAGATCTATGAGAGGACAAACAAAGACATATCACACATCAATTCTACAAATAATGCAGCAAATCCTCCACCAAAACACAAGTCGGTCAATGACGTGACGCCTAAATATTCTGTCCGGCTGTATTTTTTTAAGTTAGAAAAAGGTTTAAATGCACAAAAATAGGCTTTCTGTATGAAGTGTCTCTCGCATATTTGTAGTCACTTCAACTTTTAAAAAATCAGGTCTTATTTGAAAATTTTCTGAACTAAAGAGTGTCAAAATATCATGTGGTGCGACCAATAATAACACTAATAGTATTAAATACAAACTAAAATATCTAATTTCTGTCACTGAAACATTAATACCTGATACAATATGCTTAAGTAAAAGGTAGTTTTAAAACATTTTTAACAGTATTATGTAATTTCAAGAAAAAATTAGTCAGTTAACTACATTTAATATAGCTACTGTGAGATTATAGAGCTAAAATGTGAGATCATTATTTACAAAAACTCAAATGAAATGCAAACACTTTGTTTCTATCTACTTGATATTACTGAAAATTTGTAAAAAAAAAACAAAAAAAAACTATTAAGTATGTTGGAAAAAATGTAATAATTTTGAGATAAATAATGGTCGCACCTCATGACATTTTTTAAGGCCACGGGCAATTCATCTGTATGAAAAAACACTAAAATTTGCGTAATTTAAAAATTTAACATGAATTTTTGTGTACACAACATCCTTAGTGTTTGAACCTTTGCAAAATATATTCTTATTTTTGCTATTCTAAAATTGGCATGTTTGAAAACCTTCTACGTCATTGACCCAAGTATGTGTTGATGTGCAAGCCCCCAATAAACAGCTGAGATATCAGACGTGGTTCTGGTTCCTTACCTGTATGGACGGGTCTGGATGTATGAGCCCAGTGTTGCTGCTGACACATCTTCTGCGAGACCAAAGTCAATCACTTTGACTCTGAAGGGCTGATGTTGATGATCCACCAGCATGACGTTGTCCAGCTTAAGGTCTGCGTGGATCATACCGATGGTCTTTAAATGATCCAGAGCACTGGCGACCTAAGACGTCATTAAGGTCATTAATTGAACAGCAAAGCTCAGGATGTTACATGAACATCAGTATTTGTTCTTGTTTAAAATCAGAAATAAATTCATTAGCTCATACCTGCTGGATGATCGGTCTGATCTCGCTCAGAAGGGGAGGTTCCAAGGTTCTCTCCTTCATAAAATCAAGGAGGCTTTTGTCCAAGTGCTCGAACACCATGCAAAAATGTCCTTTATCGGTGAAGGCTTTGTGCCATTGGACAATGTTGGACTTGTCCGAGTCGAGCACTGACAGTTTTAAGAGGTTATTCACCTGAGGACACATGGCAGATAGATAGATAAATATACTTTATTGATCCCAAACTGGGAAATTCACATGTTACAGCAGCAAAAAATACAAAATAAAATTAAATATAAGAAGTAAGTACAATGCAGACTAAAAATACTAAAGAAAATAGTAAGTATATACAATAAATACAGACTAAATATACTAAACATCCTAAGAGAAAAAGGTGCGATATGAAGAACGTGGGCTATTGAAATGAGTCATAAATATGCAATGTCAATGTCAATGTCAATTTTATTTGTATAGCACATTTAAACAGCCAGTGGCCTACCAAAGTGCTTTACAAAAACGAAGCAGTAGCAATAAAAGCAAGTCATACACAACAAACAGTCGCAACAAAAGACATGTAACATATAAATGTAAATAAAAAAAAAACAAACAAAAAAAAAAACAAAGATGAAATAATGAGTAATAAATATTAAATGCGAAATATACAGATGGGATGATAAAGATGACAGATAGGTTTTAGTTTGGATTTACACACATTAGAGAGCAGTGATCAGATACTGTGGATAGAAAACAATCTGCCTAAGTTTTAAGTAAGCACGGCTAGTTTGCTCTTCTTACCTCTTTCCTTGCTGCCTCGTCAAAAGGGTCCTCGTCCTCCATGGTTTTGATGGCAACAGTTGTGTTGTCGCACATGTTGGTGCACTTTGCGACTATGCCGTAAGCGCCCTGTCCGAGGATGGACTGCACCGTGTAGGTGGTGGATCGTGAAAAGATCTGTGAACCAGTGGCTGACTGGAAACCAGACATCTTCAAATGATATTTCTGGGCTCTGTCCTCAAAAATGTTGAAATGAATTCACCAAAAAAAGGTGATTCCATGGTAATAATATGGACTCTGTCCTCGAAAATACGCAAATAAATCCACTTAAAACTAAGTTGATTTGATGCTGTAGAAAATTCTCAATCGAAAGGTCTCGATAAACCAAACTCTCTCTCTCTCTGTCTTCTCGATAAACCAAACTCTCTCTCTCTCTGTCTTCTCGATAAACCAAACTCTCTCTCTCTCTCTGTCTTCTCGATAATCCAAACTCTCGCTGTGTATCTTCTCGAAAAACCAAAGTTGCTCCTTGTCTCTTCGCTGTCTTTGTTTTCTGATCTCTGCTCAGGTAAGAGGGTTTAAATACATACATGTGCATTCTCAATTTTAATCAGTTTGAAAAATCACATTTATACTCGACGACACAAGTTTCCAAGTAACTAATGTTTTTTTTTTTTATTGTTTTTGTTTTTGTTTATTTTTAAATATATCTCATGTTTTACTGTATCTGAAGCACTTCTTACTCCTGCTTTTTCCATTTTACACTCTTTACTACTGACAAAAACAATGAAGGATAATACCATTTCACTGTTAAACCTCTAAACTCACTTTATGTGAACTTCTGCTTAAGACACTGAAAGAAACAGAGTTAATAGTCAGGTTAGGTGTCCATCTAACAAACATCTCTTCCACTTATAGGCCTCAAATTCAGCCATTAAAGCTCCTGTGAGGAACTTTTAGCTCTGATTTTTCTCAACCCTATAAACATGACAGCATATATTCTCTCTCTGTCCATTTTGCCCTGTACACATTGAAATAGTGGAAAACCCTTTTGTTTTACAGTCCCCTAATTATTGTGTATTTACCTGATGGTAACATGGTTGGTTAAAACACATTACGACAACACCAATGAAGAAATGTCATGACAGTGACTTTTCTTTCACATTATGGCTGTTTTGTTTTGGTGGCTGGAGACAGAAAGTGATGTGCCAAAATTTAATCCCTGTAATTCTTTGACCTTTAGCACTATTGACAGACAAACTGTAGTGAAATATAGCGACATTTTTTTTTATTGGTAATATTTGAGTGTTGCAAATGATAATATTATTGCTGTTTCTGAGAATTTTTGGAGTGTTTTTTGCTGTATTTTCACCATATTTACGCCATTATTCAGAGAGACAGAAGTGTGAATAAATATTCATGTGATTCCAATTCATTTTGATTCAATAATTCTGCCAAGTAAATCTTTTAAAATTCAGATTTTCGCCCATGATGGAGACCTAAATGCTCATTGAATTCACCTCTTGTGTAAACTCTCACAGTGATTCTCCTATTGTCGAGACACATTTGTTATTTCTGCTGAATCACTGCAGTGATCATCTGCAAATCACGGTCTATTGGGTCCTGAGTGTGACGGGGACTAGTGGAGACCAGTAAAACTATCTTAGCTGGGTCATTTAAAAAAATAATTACCTGTTGTACCAATAGCATCACACCAAGTGCAAGAACACCTGACTATTAAAAAGGATGGGAGTTAAATTTGCAACTAAATTCATTTTTTTTTCTGTGTTCAACACATACTCATCACTTATAATGAGACTGAAATAACTTTGCTGCTCCTATCTAATATCCCATTTGTGTCTACATAATAGCTTCTACCTGAAACATTTTTACAGAAGAAAAAAAAAAAAAGTGAATATTTAATTTGGTTGATTTAGATGGGGAGGGAAATAGCTCAGTTAAATATATCATTAGCCAGTAACATTTTTTAGCAGGTTTTATAAGAAACCACAGAAAATGCTACACAACAATAGCATTGTTGAACACTAGTCTGATGGTGATGGAATTGGTAGGCTGAAGATATGTTGTCATTTCGAAAAGATGGCGGTGTTATCGGCCTTGTGAGGACTGATCTCTGATCTCTTTCTCATCAGAACAGAAAGTAGAGGTGCTTTACTGTGGCAAAAATCCTTCACAGTTATTTTGATTCATATTGAGATTTCTGGCATTAAACACAGTTACTTGTTTTGGGAACTTTTAACACTCTGTATTCTGTACAAACATGTCTGATTGTATATTTAGTTATTATGCACACCGTTGCCCAGCTATCGTGAGCCCATCTACACTTGTTTTTCATCATGGCTTCTCTCTCCTCGCTCATTCTGTCCCGCTGCTTTACTCACACTCATACCTCCTCCTTCTCCTCAATGGCAGTGCTTCCTCTTTTCAAACCATGACGGTACAATGGTTTGTACTGCTGTAGCTCAAAATGCTCAAGATACCTGATTTTCTATATCCATCTGCTCTGTTTATATCATAAACAACACAAATATTTGCAACATGTCCCTCCTGATTCCAAAATAAATCCAGAGTATTTTTCTCACCACTGGATTGCCCCCAACCTGTGAGCGTTTCCAATAGTTCTGATGTGAAATATAAAATCGAGTCCTCTGATTATAGCTAAACTACTACTGGCCAGTTTTGTATCAGTAGGCTGTGGTGTAAAATATACAGGAGAAAACAGCTTGTACTGTGGAGCAATATTCACTGTAATGAGATTTCTTCTCCTGCTGATGAAAATTTGTATTTGTGAGTGCTGCTAACAGTGCGTTCTATATAAAAAAAATTACTTGGCAAACATTTGAACAGTTTGAAGCAGATTTGCAAGGACAATCATTTGGATTTTGCAATTTAAGTTTTTATCCTTCTCTCGAGGACAGACTTGGAAAAGCTTTCATTATTACTTTGGACAATTCTGCATCACCTTGTTCTTTCTTGAAAACCTAAGGTCTATTGTGAGTTGTGTGAACCATAAAAAAAATGCATATGTATTTTGGGTAAAAACCTCTCAACTTTGCCTAAATGAATGACTGTGTGAATTACTGTTTACAGTGAAACTGAGACTCAGTGGATGGGTAGAAAATGGATAACATGAGTGCGTTAGACTGGCATGAAAAGGTTGGTAAGTGTTTCTTTTTACAAACTCCTTGATTCCCGTAACAATATCAGGATCAATTGTGCAGCAGTAACCGAGAGCTAAGATATGGCTCAGATTCCTGAGGTGTCAAGTACTGAAGTCCAAGGTTCCTTCAAGTGCATTTAGAGTGACACACAATAGGCTGTGAAATAGCATGACTGTAGGTCAGTCCATGATATTATGAAATACCAAAAGACAGAAACTGAGCAGCAAGACTGATGCAGTCTGTCTGAGACAATGGATAAACACTATTTTGTGCTTTTTAAGATTTACAGATTCTTTTGAGCATAGTAGACTATGCTGATAAGAGTCTGTAATTGATAGACATCTATGAGAATGCATTGAAATAAAATGGTTTTGCAGCATAAGAAATAATGGGAGCCACTGTGCTGAATATTTATCAGGGTCTATTTTATCGATGATTGAATTATGTGAAGTAAAAACGTCAATACTTTTCAGAGAAACTAATATGCTGCAAAAATTAGACTAGTTCCTTGAAAATAACTATGCACAGGCAAAGCGGTGGACTTCATCCACTTATCCTGTTATCCACTTCATCCAGTTAATGTGCCCGATTGGGGCAGTGCGTGCTCAAATCAGGATTCTGTTAGCAATAAGTAGAAAACTAATCACTTCTTGTTCTCTAAATTGGAAACTCTCAGGACACAGGACTTTACCTTGGGCATGACTCATTCTTTTAAGGAGAAACTAATGCTCTTTTTTTTAAACAGAGGAGAGTGAATGATGAGAGCTTTCATGAAGTAGTTGCACTTAAAAAGAAGTGTGATACCCTGTTTTTCCTTGTCTAAAGACCCACTCCGATGAAAATCATTTTTTGTCTTGTAGCATTTTTCTGATGCTACAGGGAAAATCATGAGAAAAAAAAAATAAGTGCATTTCTGAGTATTTCTGCATTCATATCAAATCTCTGGCAGACCCAAACACAAGGGTGAGATTTCCTATGTAGTAAATCCAAGCGCCGCCCCGTAGCCCCGCTATGCAAGCCAGAAATAGAAGATGATCACAGAACAAGTGTGTGAAGTAGCGGATTGCAATGCTCGTAAGAAAGATGATATATAATATTCATATGATATGATATGATATATATATATATATATATATATATATATATATATATATATGATATTATATTTATTTATTTATTTATGTATTTACTTTCATCATGCCACTAAAGACATTAAGGCTAAAACGTACAGGATGCGTATTTGGAGCGTGGAAGCAGCATGTATCATGTAGCAAATAGGTTGCTATTCTAATCAATGCAGCAAAGCATGCAGGACGCGTATCAGCTCTGTCGCAGCATCGTATCAAGAGCAGCACTGCTTAAGATACGCCGCAAGTCTATTTCTGCTGCTCTAGACTTCCAATGCGCGTCAATCCACACAGAGAAGATAGTTCCAGACAGGAAGTCAAGTACGAAAACCGCGTATGTCATCCGGTATTTCAAAATAAAACACCATATGCGAACTCCTGACTGTGTATCAAGTCAAGTCAAGTCAGTCAAGTCAAGTTTATTTGTATAGCACATTTCAGCAGCAGGGCAATTCAAGGTGCTTTACATGAAACAAGCAGGCAAAACATTCAACACAATTTAAAAAGTAAAAACAGCGTAAAAGACATTTAACAGATTAAAAGTTACATTCAAAGCTAAAATAAGATTGGAGATAAAAGAAAACAAAGGTTAGATTGGAGAGATAGAAAAAAAAAAAAAAAAAAAAAAAAAAAAAAAGATCAAGACAGGCAGATGATGAAGATGTTGATTAAAGGCCTCAGGTTTGATTTAATGATAGGCCACAGCAAACATATGCGTTTTCAGCTGTGATTTAAAAGAGCTGAGAGTTTCAGCAGACCTACAGTTTTCAGGGAGTTTGTTCCAGATATGAGGAGCATAAAAACTAAAAGCTGCTTCTCCACGTTTAGTTCTGACTCTGGGGACAGAGAGCAGACCTGCTCCTGATGATCTGAGCGGTCTGGATGGTTCGTAACGTATCAG